ACACACACACACACACACACACACACACACACTCACACATACACATAAAACAATAGCAAAGTACTTGAACATGTCACCCCAACAAACGTTGTGTTTCCACCACAGTGTCTCCACGAGCAAGCTTAAGAAACAAAGAAAGAGAACAAGATCAAACGTCTGTTTCCCTCTCCCCAGTTACGGCATGATGCTGACCATTTACGTGCTGCCAGTGATCGTGTTCAGCGGCCTGCTGTGTAACGCCGTGTCCTGCCTGGTGTTCACCTCCCACGAGTTGCGAAAGCTCAGCTCAAGCGTCTACATCTTTGCCCTCCTAGTCTCCGACTCCGGGGTCCTGCTGGGCCTCCTCTTTGTGTGGCTGGAGGCCATCGGCTACAGGCTCAACCACATCAACGGCATCTGCCAGGTTAGTGCAGAGAATCGAGCTTTTTTGTCTTTGGTTTGGTACCCCCCACTCTCACTACCGTCGGTTAGCTGTACAGATTACTAGGCCCCAAAAGGAGTTTTATTTTCATGGGAGAGAAACAGTGTTTCATTTTTTAAAAAGATTCTACCCACATTTTTGGTGTTTTTTTTGTTCAAACCCTCACCATTTGAATTTTGGGCAAATATTCCGAGTTCATACAGCCTATACCAGAGAATCAGATAAAGAAAATGTTAGGCTTAGTGCAACTAAATAGCTGGCCGACGAAATATTGTGTTGGTTACTTTTTTGGTTGATCGTATTAGCTTTGACAGTTTATCTGTTTGTTTGTCTTTTTTTGGTCACTCCTTTTGTTTATTTATTTGTTTGATTTTTATGTTAGTTTATCTTCTTATTTGGGACTGGGGATTTGTTTTCGGGTGGGGGGGGGTTTCCCTGATCTTTCCCTGTCACCCATATGTTTAGGTTCCCTACGTATGTTGTTCTGGGCCTTCCCCTGCCTCGCCTGCCTTTAATTTTCCCAGTGGGAGCTAGATGTTCAAGACCCGGATGTCTATTTATGAGTCCCAAAAAGTGCATTTGTCGTTTCCTGATTGTTTTTAAATACGTGTTATATTTCTGGCCAGTGTATAACCTGGATGAATTGCTTAACTAGGACACATCTGAACTGGTTCAGTTATGGTTGTTCTGTTGCAAAGTCACTTGCTGATGTGTTTTTAAAGATCTTGGACGTTTTTGTTGTACTGAACCCCCCCCTCCCCCCCCCTCTGCCCGAGACTTCTACCACGGTCTTGCTTTATGGAGAAATAATTACCTTATACCACACCTCATCGCAAGGTATGATCGCGTCTAGGAACTACAATTACTCTTTGGGGCATATCGAGGGTTTCAAGGTTTGAGGGCAGGAAAGTAGTACCTGGACAACCAGCTCCTTCTATGTCTAGCAGAGCTGCATTATGCATACTGCTGGTCGTTTGTCATAACGCAAAAGGTTGTAGAATCTAAACAACAACTGGCTAAACGTGCGAACAAAATTTGTCAAATGTTATCTAAGCACGAAACGTAAGATTTATCCTGAGGTTTTTTTTCTTGTTAATAAAACTGTCACTAGAGCTCCTGATACCGGTGGGGAATTTAAAAAAAAATTGACCAAAAAAAAAAAGGAAAACAAAAAACAAACAACAACAGAAGCGCACACGACACGATAACACTTCGGCGGCAAACTCTTCACGAAAAGGATAATTATTGCACTCGCAACAAAAAAAAGGTAAACTTATGCATATATATTATATATAAGAGCCGAAAATTAGAGGTTTCTGTTTTTAGTTTAGTATGGGGTTTTATGGCCCCCGCAACTGCATAAAGTCATGTGAGCGCTGAGGTTTCTAATAGCAACG